GTGACGTGAATGGCGAAGTGAACGGTGATGTCTGAAGATGCTGATTGGCGGTGAGAAGGAAGGATTCAAACTCTCTCTCTCTCTCTCTCTCTCTCTCTCTCTCTCGATTCTTTGCTGCTCTCAGCTTCCAATACAAGGGAGAATGAGAAATATCTTATTCAAAGGAGAATTGGAAAACTTACAAGAATTGACCGAAGAAAATTACAAAAAAGGACACAAAATTTTTCTATAATTTAAAATAAAATAAAACCTAATTTTTACTTAGTAGAATTTATACCTTTAAGAAAGTTTCTAGTATAAGTTCTACTTAAATTATCACTCTTTATTTATTATAAAACTAATTTAAATAAAATATCAATTGGAAAAAAACTTAATTTATTTAAAAATTTAGGGTCATTACGTTGTTGATATATAATCTGCTGGTGTGGGGCTAGTCTCCTTTATTAGATTAACTGATAGGTTTTACTATTATAGAAATTTGAAAGGTCTAAATTACAAATGAGACTATGCTGAAATTTTTGCAAAATATTTAAGAATTTATTAATTTTATAATTATATATAAATTATTTATCAATATTTTAGCTCAATTTCTTATTAATTAAGGCTTATGAAATGTGAGTTTATCTCAAATTTTGTGCCGATCATACTTTTAGTACTAGGGTGTGACAATTTCTCCTTCGATTACATGCCAATTTTTCTTTGAGAAAATTATGAATAGGTCCTGTACAGTTAGTTTATTTACAATAATAAGTCGAAAGGTCTCATGGGACTTAGTTGTAATTTATAGTTGGAATATCAGGACAATACTATCGTTGTTAATTTGGCTTTCATTTATAACTGCAACTTTACAATTTATAAGTAAAATTTCATAATTTACAAGTTAAATTTCTTGTTTAACACTTCATATAATATGGAGTCTCTATGGAGTTAATTATGTCTACTTAAGGCTATAATTGGTCTAATTGAGATGTAAAATTCATGATTCACCATGTAATTATAGCTTAAGAAAACATAATTAACTTTATAAAGACTCTATATTATATAACGTGTTAAATAAGAAATTTGACTTGTAAATTGTGAATTTGTAATTGTAAGTAAAAGCCAAATTAACAGGGACAGTATTATCTTTATACCCCAATCATAAATTACACTCAAGTTTTAAAAGATTTAGTTGTAATTTCTGAATTTTGTGAGACTTATTGGTAAATAAGTATACTGTACAAGACCTATTCATAATTTTTCCCTTTTCTTTTGTTACAATATTCATGGTCGAATCAGCAAATGGATGTATTCCAATAAATTTTCCAAAGCAAAAGCTTCATATCAATCAAGAAACAGAGTATATATTTATTTAAACCATATCGAGGAACTCGCAAATTTTTCTTATATTTGTTTTCTGCCCCGTACCTTCAAAATTTCTGAAGAACCATTCTCTTTTTTTTTTGGGGGGGGGGGGTAATCATTTTCTTCAAAATAAAAATCTTTTTGTAATGATTTTTATTGATGTGGAGATTCGTTTCAATGAAGTTTCGTCCATGAATGAAGTCTTCATTGGATTAATTTCACTGATTTAGACTCATAAGCTCAATACGTGTACAAGAATGAGATTTACATCGCACAAACTTCACAAATGGGCTTTGCTAGAGCAGAAGCAGCTTTTTCTATATGATCCATTAGCTTTCCAGAAGTTAGAGAATGCATTTTGGAAGAAATATATTTAGTTGGGTTCTATCAATTAGGAAAATGTTTCTTTGTCCAGTTTCTATGGGTATATAACAACTTTAGAATTAATTGAGGTAGCATTTGGATTGGTAGATTTGGATTTAGAATCTTACATTTCAAATTTATGTATTTATAATTCTTTGTTTGAGTGGTTTAAATAACATAAGTTATTACTATTAGGTAGTATTTCAAAGGTGCAAATGAAAATTTGAAATAATAAGAGTTTAGAAATTAAAATATTTTAAATTCTGAAGGAATTAAGATAAAATTTGGATTTGGACTTGGATATTCATAAATTTTTAGATGCTCAAATAGGAAATTTGGTCCGAATCCAAGTTTATATATATATATATATATATATATATAGACACACACACAAATGAATTTTATATTGTTCGTTGGATTCGATATCCGTGTCTTTAATATGATCCTTGCCATGACAGGTATTTTGGTGATTTCCTGCAAATGTATCTCTGGTTTCATCCCCCGGGGGGTAAAAGCATGGTTTCTGATATTTTAATTTCGTACAAAGTTTCAATTTAAATATTTAATTTTATAAAAGAGAAAATTTATATACTTAACATTATATATTTAAGGTGCTTGTATCCAATAAAATCATAACATGTGAGTCTTTTATAGATTTTATTTATTCTACAATAAATTCTTTTTATTATTAAACTAATATATTAAAATTCAAATGTCATGATTTGATTGAATGTAAGTATATTATTTCATAAAATAATTTTTTCAATCCTCCAGTTATGATACCATTTCTGGTAAAAAAAAAAAAAGTTATGATACCATGAATCTCCCTAACAGAGAAGGTTGGTTCTGTAATTTTAAATGCTGACAAAGAATGCTTAAATGCTAATCCGTAAATCAATTATTTTTTTATTTTAAAATTGAAATAAGCCTATTAAAACTCAGTACAAAAATAAATGTATAAATATTTTTTTTTTCATAATTTGATTCCTGAAAGTGTATATGAAAAAGCATTGTTTGGGAGAAAAAAATCCCTTGAGAAATTAGTTTCATAATTGTTGGCCATGGGGATACCTTAGGAAACCAGAAAATATATAAATATTTTATAAATCACTTGTCATATTTCATTGACACATCAAAAATTTAAAAAAATCAAGAAAATATTTTAAAAGCAAGAAGGTTTTCCTTTGACCCAAAAAAAAAAAAAGAGTCGAATCTAACCTTATAAAAAAAGAAACCATTTCTTATAAAAATCAACTTTTTTGGATAAACCAGTCATTTTTATTTCTTTTAAATTTTTTATAGGCTTATTTTAGTTTAAAGTATATAAATGATTGGATTAAATTAAATAATTAGCATTTTAAATGTAGAGTCACCATTTTTTTGGACAAAAATTGTAGATTCATCATTTTAAAGTATTTAAAATTACAGAATCAGCATGTAAAAATGATTGGATTAATGGTGTTAGAATTAGAGAGATAAAAAAATATTTTATAAAATTAAGGAATCAAATTAAAATCTTATATAAAATTAGAGAAACAAAAGTACATTTTAATCTAATAATAAATGTATGTTTTTATTTTTTTTCCCCTTCACCAGGACCCTACGAAGGAGAAAAACATAAACTAATTCCATCACTAAGTTTGCAGATAACTTCAACATAATTCTCATTCCCAAATTATTAAATATTACATGATTAAAATTTTAAAAGTCAACTCTGAATAAATTAATATAAATAAAAATATCCAAACCCGATCATTATATACATGATATATTATTTTAATTAACGGAGAAAATTTAAGAATTCAAAAGGGGCGAAGTAATTATTTGGCGGCGCCTAGTCGGCTACCCAACTTCTCCCAACCTGGGTCCTGCCATGATGCCTTCTCTCTCTCTATTTCTCTAGAAGACTAGATAGAAAGAATGTATACATATACTCCTTCTGAATCATAACAAAGCAGGGAGTTTTCTAGAAGCTATTGACCGATATAAAAGCATCTTCTATCCGATAGTTAAGAAATAAATCTGGCATCGAACTCCAGACAACATGTTTAACAGATCCAGTATCTGTCATTATGCTGTACCTTGTTGGTTATATATATATATGTGTATGTATGTATGTATATATTTTCTTTCTTCAATTATCATCAACAAATTTGAGTTGTTTAAAATAATATATATCAAAATCTTACGGTTATGCACCTCCGATATTAAAACTTCTATGGGTCCACCCCATTCCTTCCCTTGGTTTCCTTCATCATGTTCAGACATAAATCACTCTCTCCACACAGAGCCAACCCTCCACATGTAATTATTCCTAACCAATATCATCTCAGCAGCTCCTGATCTCTCCATTCCTTGATTAGCTTCATATTTTGCTCGGGCCGGATCCTTAGTCGCATCGTTTCGACACGATTATGAAAATAAGCTTTTCGATTCAGTTGCAGCAGGGCAGCATGATTTTCATCGTCTTAGGCTTGAAAATTACTACTATTAGTTCAATTCTAACATCAATAAGTTGTGACAACTCACAATGAAAGTTGAGGTGAGTTGAGTCTTTGGTTTACTAGGATTAAGATATAACTCTAAATTTAAAGAGTACTTTTGAAAACACTTATAGGCTGTCCACCAACAAAATTCCCAAATTAGTAGCGGATTTAACCCATAATCTTGTGAATTATGGTAGAACTGTCAAGGGTCACTTAAAGGCCCTTATTTGTTTAAGGCCTAATTCATATAAGTCTTTTAAAAATGAGCTTGGGGTTGGGTTAGTCTTTTTTAGCCCCGTGTTCTCTTTTCTTTTTCCAATTAGCATGAGGTTAAAATTCTTAATATTGCAAAATAGCATTATTGAAATTATTTGGTTTATTTTTATTTTTGAATAAAATATGAAAGTGATATAATTTTTTAAATTATGTATTAACAAAATTAAAATTTAAGGAATGTGAGTACATGAGCTTGAGTTCTTAAGGGCAACGCTTGTAAGGGCTGGGTCTGTATATAAAGGTCAAGCAGTCATGTATCAACAGCCCAAGTTATGAACTAAAATTTTACCAACTAGAATACTTTTGTCTATGATTTTATAAAATAGAAGGTTTTCAACTGTAAACATCAAGAGTAAACCAAAAAAGTGAAATGAAATTCAGCGTTTTGTATTCTTTTGACTAAGGAGGTCAACGCGTATTAAAATAATAGCAAAGAAAAAAACAAAGGAAGAAAGATCGTCACCTTCTTTTTTATTCTGAAACACTATCCCTCATTTCTTTTCATTCTCTTCATTCTCCATAGAGGCAAAGGCCTGGTTACCTCTCTTTTCTTGTCCATCTTCATTCTCTCAGCTAAACATGCTTCGGCCTACTAATCTCCTTCCCTTATTTACCTTCATATTCTTGTCATGCTGCAGTATTAACGGCGTCGTTTCAGATCCACAGACCAATCTTCTCAAGACCCGGTGCAACCCATACGACAGGTTCGTCGTCACCAACATCTCCATCTTCAGTGAAAACCTAAACGCAACGTTACAACACATCAGAGAGCAGATCAGCGTTCAAAACAAGTTCTTCGCCACGGCGGCAAAGGACGCCAATGGAGAAAACCCAGTCTACACTCTCTTTCAATGCAGAAACTATCTCTCCATCGCTGACTGCGTCGCATGCTTCGATGTCGCTGCTGGAGAAACCCGCAGCTGCACTGCCACCATGGCCTCGGCTGCCCTGGTCGTCTACGACGGTTGCTTCATGAGGTACCACTAGTCGCCATCAATGTTGACTTTTTAAATAGCATATAGCGTCAAGATAAGATATAACAGCGACATTTATTTTCGTTGGGTCAGCTATTGCGATGTTATGATATATCAGTTTGCGCAGTTGTTTGATTGACCAAGGAGAGCAGAAACTTTTGATACTCTGGCTAAAAATACATACCTTCAGATTCCTCAGCTTTTGATACTATAACCAAGGAGTACAACTTTTGTCCTTTAATTTAGTTTTATATATTTACTAGTTTTCATTTACTCCTCAACTTTTTCTTAAGTTTCAATTTGATGCTCTAATTGCATTTGCTATCGGCAAAATTGATATGGTATACTTTATGGTGTGTTGAGGTACAACTCCAATGGTTTCTTTGACGAGGCGCCACAGCCTTCCAATATCGTGTCGTGCGGGAATCAGACTACAGGAGAAGCCACTGCATTTACAACAACAGTGAGACAAGTGCTAATGAATCTCCAAAAAGCAACACCTAGAATCCCCCGTTTCTCTGCAGCCACGAAGATTCATGTCCCTAATAATAAGGGTGCAACTCTTTATGCTTTTGCTCAATGTGTCGATACTGTCACAGTAAAGGAGTGCCTTGATTGCTTGAAGGTTGAGTACAGCAGCGTGGAGATTTGTCTTCCCAATTCGGATGGTACGGCTTTTGATTATGGTTGTTTCATGAGATACTCCACCACTTCCTTTTTTGCCGATAACCAGACCATTGACATTACACCCTTGATCAAACAAGGTACAGTATCCATTCAAATATTTAAATATAGCCACTTATTGTTGTCTTGGATGCATGAGTGTATGTATTATGCTGTAATAATGGTAGTGCTTTTTCACGTTAAATCTTGTACTACCTCTAGTTCTTAATATAAAGCAAAATTTGAAAAAAAAAAAATTGTTCTTAATATGAGACGAATTTTGAGTAATTAATTTCTTTTCCAATTTTACCTCTTGTTTCTTAATTAAATACGTAGAAGGATAAAATTGAAAACTTATATTTTTTTATAATTTTAAGATTATAACTAACATGTATGCCATCTTCTAATATATTTTTACTCCTCTTTAATTGTTAATTAGTTAATCTTTTTCCTTGAATCCACTTATTTTTCCGCTATCCCAACATGTATGTGTATTTTATATGTCACCCTAGTAAGTGGACACCCTTGTAGTTCCAGAGACCGAAACCATAACTAATTATGCTAGCAGGGTGATAGGTTATGTAATGATTCTTCATAATCATAGATAAAACATCTGATAGATAGGATCTTTTGGACAAAACCGCAGCTTTATGTTAGCCAAAGGTCTTATTATGAACCATGGACAACGTAACCTTATTTACAATTTTGAAGCTAACCGCGGCCGTGATTCATAATGAACTGATTGACTAATTAGAAAATGAATTATTTATTGTTTTTGTCTTGTAGGTTCAAGCAATAAGGGGCCCACTATTGGTGGAGTAGTTGGTGGTATAGCTCTTGTTTTGGTACTCCTTGGATTGTTTGCCTGGATTAGACGACCTAAAAAGAAAGAGAGAATTCCTAGAGGTAATTAAACAACTTAAAAGTCTTCAACTACTGTATATCAGTTTGTAACTATTTCATGTGATGTTTTGTTTTCCTCAACAGAAGGCATAATTGGAGCAAGCATGTTGAAAGGCCCAATTACTTACAGTTATAATGATTTGATGTCTGCAACCAACAATTATAGTGAAGAAAATAAACTAGGAGAGGGAGGATTCGGGGCTGTATACAAGGTAATTTTGATTTGATTTTCAATAAGCTAGATCATGTTCTAAAGCAAGGATGTCTCTAGATGAGTTTTATCTAGTGTTATAAGAACGAAGTTAGATTTCCAAATTAACTAAGGCGGAATAATTAACAAAGCAATCATGATTGAAATTCGTTATCATCACTAATTAATAGGGCACTTTGAAGGATGGAAAAGTTGTTGCTGTCAAGAAATTGACCTTAAACCACTCAAAGAGGATGGAGGAAGATTTTGAAAGTGAAGTGAAGCTCATCAGTAATGTTCATCATCGAAATCTTGTTCGACTTCTGGGATGCTCTAGTAAAGGCCATGATAGAATCCTTGTTTATGAATACATGAAAAATAGCAGCCTCGACAGGTTCTTGTTCGGTATTTCATGCCAACTGAAAAAACTCTTGTACAATTTTTTAAGCATGACCTGTTATGAATTTGGGCATATTTCCAACTATATATTTCACCACTCATTTTCTTACTAACCTTTCAAAGTTTTAAATTTGAAAAACAGGTGAAAGGAGAGGTTTTCTCAACTGGAAACAACGATATGATGTAATTTTAGGAATTGCAAGAGGTTTAACATATTTACATGAAGAGTTTCATGTTCGTATTATACACAGAGATGTAAAGACTTACAACATTCTCTTAGATGATGATCTTCAGCCAAAAATTGCAGATTTCGGGTTGGCAAAGCTCTTACCTAATGACATATCTCACCTTAGCACAAAAATTGTTGGAACATTGTAAGTCAAAATACCAACATTTGTTTAATTTTCATTACAGCTGTGATATAAACAAGAATTGTCCAAGGCTTATTAGCGCCTATTTGCTAAAATACTTCAAAGAGTTGATATATATAAACACATCGAAATAATTCAAACTGTGCATATTAGGATTTTTTTTTTGTGATCTATTACATCATAATTATTGTAAATTTGTTAGGGGATATACAGCACCAGAGTATGCAATTTATGGTCACTTATCAGAAAAAGCTGATATTTATAGTTATGGTGTTGTCATCTTAGAAATCATCAGTGGTCAAAATTGCAAAGAATTAGAGCTCAACGGTGATGATGAAGGCATATTCCTAATTAAAAAGGTGAGAAAATCCCCCAACTATTTAATGAGGCATTTTTAGCTTGATAAGATTTAGATGTTCGTAATTTGCTTTGTTTCTAGGGTACACATCTTATTCTTACATTTCACTTCACTTCTATCATATTTGATAGGCGTGGAAACTTTATGAGAAAGAGAAGCACTTGGAGTTAGTGGACAAAGCCCTGGACCCTAATGAATATGATGCAGAAGAAGTGAAGAAAATCATAGAGATCGGTTTGCTTTGCATCCAAGCATCTGCCGATGTAAGGCCAACGATGTCCGAAGTAGTTGCTTTGCTTCAAAACATGGATTTATTAGAGAACTTGAGACCCACCATGCCTATCTTGATTGAAATTAATTAGAGGGTTCATGCATTGGAGACTCCTCTACTTGTACTGGTTCCTATAATATTTGATGTTATTGCCTTTACTAATTTTATACTATCAGAAAAGATAATTGTGTGTAAATAGATCAGTGTTGAAAATTTTATGTGAATTAATTGTTAAAAATATTAATTATTTAGTCTATATAGTTTTGAGTTGATTATACTTCGTCTCTAAAATTTAACACACAATTATCTTTAATTTAGTTTTGCATGTAGTTTTTTTCCTACTTTATCCTTATTTAATATAACTGATAATTAAATATTTATTAAGTATTCGTTAGTGATAAAAAGTTAGTCAGTCTCATGTCTAACATGTAAGACATCAGTAGCTACTTTACTTTACATATCTTGATAGAAAGTTAGTTAATGTTTTTTTACTCGTTAAATTTGTGCCAAAGTATAATTAGTTTTCCATTGTAATTTGTCTCTATCAAATGGCTAATCTCTCAATAACAAATTGGATTTTTCTTAATGCACTCCAACTTTGGCCAATCTCTATCTACCACACACTCTTTGTATACTACTCCCTCCACCCTAAATTATAAAACACTTTTGAGAAAGATTTTGTATCTCAAAATATAAGACATTTTGACTATTGTGCTCTCCATAGGTTTACGGGCTGTGACAAGTAATACAATGTAAGTAAAGTATTGTTCTCATAGAGATTTGTTTAAAAATAGTGATCAAGCAAAAGGCTTAACAATTTCAATCAAGTTGAGTCAACTACAATTGTATGACAAAGTTGATCTTGCAATTTAAATTAAAAATTGAAAAATAAGGAAAGGCAAGCAATTCATGAACTTCAAGCATAAATTAGAACTTAGGATTATTTATTCCTCTTGCATCTCATAACACCAAAATTACCTCCTCTCATAAATATTTTTAATAAAAAATAAGTGCTAACCTATAGTTCTAAAAATACTTGAACAAGCTCTCTTAAGTTATGAACAAGTATTTAGTTAAATTAATTATTTACCAACCTCTTATTACAATTAATAAAACTCAATTTTAAGCTCCAACCCAATGTGGCTATGTAAGGTTAGCAAGTATATCTTTATTTTACTAACAAAATTATCCATTCAATATGCAAATTTCAAGTTTTTGCACTACTTTACCCAAATTCTACATCAAAGCTAGCTTTCCCAAGCATCACCCAAGTGAACCCAACATCTAAATAGTAGCCAAACACTTAGAAGCATTAAGAAAAGAGTAAAATAAACACACACACACACACACACACATCATTAATTACAAAAAAATAGGAGGAACTTAGTGTTAATCCATATATGGGTTTAAAATAATCTTAGAGCAAAGAGTTTAGCTACTCATAAATATCAAGAAGATACAAATACACAAAATATTCACAGTCATATCAGATTACAATGAAAGAAATGGAGAAGAAACAAAAGAACTAAAGAAACAGGTTTTCAAATGTCTTTAAAGCTTAACTCTTGGACCCAACTCATCTAAAAACTCAAACTGTAGTACAACCAAGCTCTCAGAGTGTCTTCAAGTGTGCAAAATGGGTTTTGAGTCAAGCAAGTAGCATATATGTATCCTACCCACTCATTTTCTATTGAGCAAAATGCAATATTTTGCTGACAAAGGAAAAAGTCAAAAAAAAAGTCATGACTTTGGTGACAACTTTGGTGGTTTTGCATTATTTTTGTGGCTAACAAAACTTATCCTCTTTTTACTTGATTTCTTCATCCAAAATCTCTCCAAAAGCATCACCAAAGGTCCAGAAATATTTTCCACCAAACATTAAATCAACATAACACAAATTAAGCCTAAAAATATTAAATTAAAACCAAGTGTGCAAACTCAAAGCAAGATACATATTTTTTTAATTTTGGCAATCAAAATATATACAATTGAGCTAAAATATATTAAAATCTAAGGAAAATGTGCTTAAGTGACATGAAATTCTAGTAGTTAATACTCATTAAAAACATTTTACATGTAATAACCCACAATTTAAAAAAAAATGTTCAAGTAAAGATTTATCAATAAATTAAAATCTATGGTTGGCTATTTTGATTATTTTATTAATTTTGGGAACATATTTAACAAGGTAGTTTGGTGGTATAGTGGAGTTTGTATCAACTACTCGATTATTAGGTCCCAAGTTCGAACTCTCAGTGCTAGAAAATGATTTTTCCTTTTGCCATTAGTATGACTAAAATTACTAATATGCCCTTATAACCATTTGCTTTCTTCCTCTTATCTGATTCAACTTTTCAATTGGACATTAGTTGAGAGAGCAAGTGAGATTGATGACTCTCTATTTTGTGTTATTATTAACATGTTTTTGGTTATATTTTGGGAGTCATCAATGGAAAAGAAAAATATTTTCTTGCTTTTATAAAGAAAAATTAACTAAGTGTCTTATGTGGATTTATTATAATATTTTTAAGAAAATTATTTAAAATGATGAAAATTGAAGTAAGCAAAGATTCTAGTCATATTTATTAATTGTAAATAGCTGAGGCATGACAACATCAAAGCAAGAAAGAGCAAAGAGACAAGAAAAAGGTGGCTTACAATCCAAAACACAAAAATAAAAGTTTCTGTGCACTGTTAGAATTTTTAGAATTGCTCACTAATCCCATGGCACCATTAAAGGAGTGCCATGACACTAGATGAAAATATAGAAATGCACAGTTTCATTTTCCGTGCAAAATGAACCTACATAACTCATTTTTTTGGACTGAAGTAGGCATCATTCAGCTGTTGCAACTTAAGAAAACCCTAGGAGAGTAAGAGGAGAAGTCTTGAAGCTTGGGAATAAGAAGTGGAGCAAATATTCATTCTACCTCATTTTTTAATGTTTTATCTTCTTCTTTTCCTCTTTGTTGATAGTTTTTGTGTTGTTTTTGTGTTTATATCATTTATGTGTAGCTAAATCTTCTTATTCTAAGGACTATGAACCTATTTGTGTAAATAACCTTGGACTTACCATTTAGTTGTTAAGAAATAAAGTTTTGATACTTGCTCTTGAGCTATATTATTCTTATTTAGTAATTGGCCACCACTAGGTGAGATTTGGGCAATTGGGTTGAACCTTGAAAGAGGAGACTCAAATTGAACCTTGAGAACTAGTAGCCTAGGATTAGTTTAGCTAATTTGCCATTAGAAAAGGAATGTATCTAATGGACCTAGGTAATCCTCATGGGTTAGGGTCTCTAATGCAATTAATTAATTAAGGTAATAATTTAATTTTATTGAATTAATTAGGATCCTTAGTGATCGTAAGATACTTTGGATTAATTTAGGTTCCCAAATTATCAAAACTGAATTTCAAGACAATTAATATAGTAATGAAAGGGTTAGAAAGCAAATAGGGGATTAGGACTCTAGAACACTCCTTTTTTGGTTGACTTTAGTTGTTTGTGGATTGAAAGTTATTTTAATTAATCACTTTTAATATTTTCATTTTAATTGTTTTAAAATCAATCTCTAGTTTTATTAGCTTAACGTGAATGAATTTAAAAATTTAATACCTAATCGCCATTTTAATTAATTCCTTGAAAGATCGACCTTGATTTACTGCTAGCTTCAACTGTGACCTATACACTTACAGTGTCTCTTAATTTTTGTGGGCATCAGAGATTTTGTCCAAAAGCTTCACCTACCCTTCTCCAGTCTATAATCTGTCTGCCATTCAGACTTGCTGCCATTTCTAGAGTGGAGGTTCACCATAGATTTCTGCCAAAAGTGTAGTTCTTCCTCCTCCTTCGATCCTGTTCTGAGTTGCAAAGAGAGCTTGAGATCAAAACTCTTCTATGCCTTCTCCAACCTTCATTTATAGTTAAAATCACTATAGGTGAGTGCTTGGGCGTGTTCCACCATTGCTCAATCTCTAATCATCTAAACCAAGACCCATTTATTCTCCCATATTTCTTGCTAAATGTGAACCCACCATTGTTGAGTGTGGGTGTTGGGATTTTCTTCTTCCTCTGTTTTCGCTCAAGCAATGTCTCTTCTCACTTCTAATATTGTTAACTTGAGGTGAGGATTTTTGTGCTCTTCCTATTTCTAGCATTGTTGATTTAAGGGGAAGACCTTTGAGGTTTTCTCCTTAGCAATTATGAGTATATGTTTTGAGTGGCTATGGTTGTGAATTTTTTCCCTTGTTCAACTACCGTGTATGATTGTGTAGAGAGGGGATTGGAGTAATCTGAAATTTAAAGCTTAGTTAAACATTTCCATTAAGTAATTCTAGTTTGGTTGCTTTAGGTTATGGTTAATGGAGATGAATGTGAATTTGGGTTTTACTCTTAAAGTTAAAAGCTGATTTTTTTGTTGAAAACATGGAATTTGAGAAGCTCGTTTAATCTAAATATTGATATTTGAAGAAACTTTGGAAAGGATAATGATGAGGAAGCGGCTTCGTATTTATTTGAATTTGGACGCATGCAAGATATTCGATAAAATGCTTGAAAGGAAGATTTTGGTAAATTGTTGGCAAGAGATTAAAGGTTAAAAAGTTTAAATTGAATAGTTGGAAATAATGCACATAAAGTATTTGATGCAATGCCTAAGAGAGAATTGTCTCTTAAATAAATAGATTGGTATGATTAGAGTAACGTGGAGGAAATTAGTGATACAAATGAAAACTATAAGATATGAATTTTAGTTTTGAAATTTAAATGGTGGTAGTTGATTGAGATTGTGTTAGAAGTAGAAAGAAGTCTTTATAATTTTTAGAAAGTTTATTAAAATTTCATTTATTTATATGCTTATAGGATGTGTGGAAGAAAAGGGCTTTCATAGGAATTGAAGGAAGCAAATCTTTAGAATTTAGGAATCCTACAGATAAGTGAATAGCGTCCCAATAACTTAATTATTAGTAAATTTATTTTTCTTGAAATTTTGATTAAATATATTCATATATAATATACCTAACTGATATTATGATTTATTTCTGTTATCAATTATTATATTTTGGAAATTCTTGCATTACATTAAACCTTACAAAAGGAACTGGAATTAGTTTTAGAATGAATGTTCACAAGTATTCATGATGTTAATATTGATTGATCTTACAGTCTAAAGAATGAATATTTTATTAGGGTTCATGTATGGGAGAGTATTGAAGATACTATTTTGTAGTGATTATATTGAAAA